TCTCAAGAGTCTTCTCCAACACCACAGTTCAAAAGCATCAATTCTTCGGTGCTCAACTTACTTTGTAGTCCAACTCTCACATCCATACATGACTACTAGAAAAACCATAGCTTTGACTAGACAGACCTTTGTTGGCAAAGTAATGTCTCTGCTTTTTAATATGCTGTCTAGGATGGTCAGAGAATTTCTTCTAAGGAACAAGCGTCTTTTAATTTCATGACTGCAGTCACCATCTGCAGTGATTTTGGAGCCAAAAAAAAACAAAGTATCTCACCGTTTCCATTGTTTCCCCATCTATTTGCCATGAAGTCATGGGACTGGATGCCTTGATCTAAGTTTTCTGAACAGTATGAAAAGACAAAAAGATAGGACACTGAGAGAGGAACTCCCCAGGTTGGTAGGTGCCCAATATGCTACTGGAGAAGAGTGGAGAAATAGCTCCCGAAAGAATGAAGAGACGTAGCCAAAGTAAAAACAACACCCAGTTGTGGATGTGACTAGTGATGGAAGTAAAGTTTGATGCTGTCACAAACAATATTGCATACGAACCTGGAATGTTAGGTCCGTGAATCAAAGTAAAATGGAACTGGTCAAACAGGAGATGGCAAGAGTGAGCATCAACATTTTTGGAATCAGTGAACTAAAATGGACTGGAATGGGCTAATTTAACTCAGATGACCATTATATCTACTACTGTGGGCAAGAATCCCTTAGAAGAAATGTAGTAGCCCTCATAGTCAACAAAAGAGTTCAAAATGCAGTACTTGGGTGCCATCTCAAAAATGACAGAATGATCTCTGTTCGTTTCAAAGGCAAACCATCCATATCACCATAATCCAAGTCTATGCCCCAACCAGTAAAGCTGAAGAAGCTGAAGTTGAATGGTTCTATGAAGATCTATAAGGCCTTCTAGAACTAACACCAAAAAAAGATGTATTTTTCGTTATAGAGGACTGGAATGCAAAAGTAGGAGGTCAAGAAACACCTGGAGTTAACAAGCAATTTTGGCCTTGGAGTACAAAATGAAGCAGGGCAAAGGCTAACAGAGTTTTGCCAAGAGAATGCACTGGTCGTGGCAAACACCCTCTTTCAACAACACAAGAGAAGACTCTCCACATGGACAAACCCAGATGGTCAATACCGAAATCAGATTGATTATACTCTATGCAGCCAAAGATGGAGAAGCTCTATACAGTCAGCAAAGACACGACCGGGAGCTGACTGTGGGTCAAATCATCAACTCCTTATTGTCAAATTCAGACTTAAATTGAAGAAAGAAGGGAAAACCACAAGACCATTCAGGTGTGACCTAAATCAAATCCCTTATGATTATACAGTGGAAGTGACAAATAGACTTAAGGGATTATATCTGATAGAATGCCTGGAGAACTATGTTTGGAGGTTTGTGACATTGTACAAGAGGCAGGAATCAAGTCGATCCCCAAGAAAAAGAAATGCAAAAAGGCAAATGGCTGTCTGAGGAGGCTTTACAAATAGCTGAGAACAGAAGAGAAGTGAAAGGCAAAGAAGAAAAGGAAAGATATACCCATTTGAATGCAGAGTTCCAAAGAATAGCAAGGAGAGATAAGAAAGACTTTCTCAGTGATCAGTGCAAAGAAATAGAGGAAAATTAAAATGGGAAAGACTAGAGATCTCTTCAAGAAAATTAGAGATACCAAGGAAACTTTTCATGCAAAGATGGGCTTGATAAAGGACAGAAATGCTATGGACTTAACAGAAGCAGACGATATTAAGAAGAGGTGGTAAGAATACACAGAAGAACTATACCAAAAACCTTCATGACCCAGATAATCACGATGGTGTGATCACTTACCAGCCAGACATCCTGGAATACGAAGTCAAGTGGGCCTTAGGAAGCATCACTACGAACAAAGCCAGTGGAGGTGATGGAATTCCAGTTGAGCTATTTCAAATCCTGAAAGATGATGCTGTGAAAGTGCTGCACTCAATATGCCAGCAAATTTGGAAAACTCAGCAGTGGCCACAGAACTGGAAAAGGTCAGTTTTCATTCCAATCCCAAAGAAAGGCAATGCCAAAGAATGCTCAAACTACCGCACAATTGCACTCATCTCACATGCTAGTAAAGTAATGCTCAAAATTCTCCAAGCCAGGCTTCAGCAGTACGTGAACTGTGAACTTCCAGATGTTCAAGCTGGTTTTAGAAAAGGCAGAGGAACCAGAGATCAAATTGCCAACATCCTGTGGATCATCAAAAAAGCAAGAGTGTTCCAGAAATACATCTATTTCTGCTTTATTAACTATGTCAAAGCCTTTGACTGTGTGGATCACAAAAAAACTGTGGACAGTTCTGAAAGAGATGGGAATACCAGACCACTTGACCTGCCTCTTGAGAAACCTATATGTAGGTCAGGAAGCAACAGTTATAACTGGACATGAAAAAACAGACTGGTTCCAAATAGGGAAAGGAGTATGTCAAGGCTGTATATTGTCACCCTGCTTATTTAACTTCTATGCAGAGTACACCATGGGGAATGTTGGGCTGGATGAAGGACAAGCTGGAATCAAGATTGCCGGGAGAAATATCAATAATCTCAGATATGCAGATAACACCACCCTTATGGCAGAAATCTAAGAAGAACTAAAGAGCCTCTGGATGAAAGTGAAAGAGGACAGTGAAAAAGTTGGCTTAAAACTCAACATTCAGAAAACTACTATCACGGCATCTGGTCCCATCATTTCATGGCAAATAGATGGGGAAACAGTGGAAACAGTGGCAGACTTTATTTTTTCCGGCTCCAAAATCACTACAGATGGTGACTGCAGCCATGACATTAAAAGACGCTTACCTCTTGGAAGCAAAGTTATGACAAATCTAGACAGCATATTAAAAAGCAGAGACATTACTTTGTCAACAAAGTTCCGTCTAGTTAAGGCTTTGACTTTTCCAATAGTCACATATGGATGTGAGAGTTAGACTGTAAAGAAAGCTGAACGCCAAAGAATTGATGCTTTTAAACTGTGGTTCTCGAGAAGGCTCTTAAGAGTCCCTTGGACTGCATAGAGATCCAACCAGTCCATCCTAAAGGAAGTTAGTCCTGAATATTCATTGAAAGGACTGGTGTTGAACCTGAAACTCCAATATTTTGGCCTTCTGATGCGAAGAACTGACTCACTTGTAAAGACCCTGATGCTGGGAAAGATAGAAGGCAGGAGGAGGAGGGGAAGCCCGAGGATGAGATGGCATCACTGACTCAATGGACACGAGTCTGAGTAAACTTGGGGAGTTGGTGATGGACAGGGAGGCCTAGCGTGCTGCAGTCCATGGGGTCGCAAAGAGTAGGACACTACTGAGCAACTGAAGGACTGAACCGAACTGAGCTCCAAGGCTGAGGAGGAACCCTCTGGCTCAGGCCGCAGGGAGACCCGCCTTTGTGCCCCTCCTCCCTGCCTGGCAGGCGGGGAAGCGGCTGGTTCCCAGGCAGCCTCTTGCAGGGGGTTTCCAGTTAAGACACTGATGGAGACACAGTATTACCCGGGCAGGGCTCCAATGGAGGCTTTTACTTTTGCAAGAACCCCCTACACACACACAGACACGCACACACTGTCTCCGTCTCTCTCGCTCGCTTGCTCGCTCGCGCGCTCTCTCTGGCTCCCTGGGAAGTCTGCTCTTCCCTCCAGTAAACTCTCCCAGCAGTCCTGCTCTGGAGGAAGTCCCACCCTCTGTTGAGACCAGCCTTAAATTCCCGCTCCCGCAACTCTCTTCCTCAGTCCCATCCTCCGGCTTCAGGAAGTGGATCCTGCAGACTCTGGTAAGTAAACGTCCCCCCGCCCGCCCCATCTCCAGGGTACCGAGACCCGCAATGGCTCGGCGTTTGCCCGGTGCTGGCCCTCTCCTAATGCTGGGTAACCTCTGAGTCTTGCACTCAGACGAAACTTGAAAGCAGGGTGTCCCGGCCATGTTCCTGGCCCCTGCAGGTTCTTGGAGATCGCAGACGGCTGCCTAAGAGAAGGGCATGGCCTGGCAGCATTTTGGATACAGGCGTAGCCCCCTGCATCGGGGAGGGGGCTAGCCAGGAACTTGCGGGACAGCACAAATGTTACAAGTGTGGAAGAAGAAAGGCAGGAGTTTAACGCCCGCGTGTGGGCAAGGCGAGGAGGTGGGATCCGGGGGTGAGTGATCCTGGACCCCATTCTCTGGCGGGTGGGACTTCTCATGATCCTCGCCTGCGTCTGTGCTCGTCCCCCTTCCAGGGGTGCTTCCGGACTTACGGCGAGTCCAGAATTCTCAGCGGCTGCCTTTTTGGAGGGGGAAGACAATTAGGAACAGTGAGGTTGCGGCTCGAACCACCTCCAACGCTCCACGCAACATATTCTGACCCAAGAGCTCGGGGTCACTTGAATTCTCTTCTCCTGGCCTTGGGTGCAGGCAAATTTACCCTTGATTTCTTCTTTGCTGCCAAATAAAACGCGCGTTTGAAAATGAGGCTGAGCAGCATCGCCACCCAGTGGTTGTCAGGTGTTTTGGAGACTGCTTGTCTTGGAAGGCAGCGCTCAATCCGAAAGATGTGCATGGACTTCTAGTAGGTTCTTTATGTTTGATGCTTTTTCTTAGAATTCTCTTCATATGAGGAGAGGAATGAAATATTTTCAATCCAGGTATCTGTTCACTTCCTAAGGAAGCCTTAGCAGTGGCTAGGACAAATCTGTGTGGGTTAATATTGTTACTTTGCCTTGGAGATTTCTAAGGTAGACTCATTTCCTCATTGGTACACTGTGCCCTGGCAATGATAATAATACCCCTCTTACAGGGAAGTTATGAGGGTAAAATGAAATAAGTATGCCTTGCTTAGCACAGCATCAGGAACAGTGAATACTAAATAAACATGATTGAGGTTAAATGATAAAGTTGATGATGGGTAAACCATCTGTTCACCTTTGGGCAACCCTCAGGAAGCCATAAGAAATCAGTCACATCACGACATTGACTACATGTTTACTGTATTCTAGGAGCTTCAGGATGGTTCATGCTAAGAGCTGGACCCTGAAGAAACACTTTGTAGGTCTCCCTACTAATAGTGACTTTGAACTGAAGAAAGTTGAACTCCCACCCTTAAAAGATGGAGGTAAGTCATACTTATGAGATTTAAGTTGGAAGAGACTATGTCAGTTCACTTTTGCTGAATAACAAACCACCCCAAAATTTAGAGACTTAAAACAATCATTTACTAGATCACGATTCTGTGGGTTGGCAGTTTAGGCAGGATTAAGTTGGCAAGCATTCTGTAGATCTTATCTGGGCTAAATGGTTCCTTCAGGATGGGACTCACATGTCATGTTAACTGGCTTTCTGCTGAGGGTGCGCTTCTCAGTTTTTCTCTTTGTGGCCTTTTTAACATGCTGGTTTGAGCTCTTTGGTTTTTTTCTTTTTTTTTTTTTTTTCTGTGATTTCATCAATCTAGAGCAGCAGGAACTGGCAAGCTCCAATATGCAAAGACTGTTTGCTAATATGCTGTTCATCAAAGTAAGTCACATAGCTAAGCCCAAAGTATAGCCATAGACTTCTGTTTCCTTTTTAAGATTTTTTAAAAATGTGCACCATTTTTTTTTCAGCCTTTATTGAATTTGTTACAATAATGCTTCTGTTTTATGCTTTGGTTTTTTTTGGCCAAGAAGCATGTGGGATCTTAGCTCCCTGACCAGGGACCGAACCTGCACCCCCTGCACTGGAAGGTGAAGTCTTAACCTCTGGACCGCCAGGGAGGTCCCACTATAGACTTTTTGGAGGGAGGATGGCAAAGTTGCTCCCACACAGGGATGGGTAGTATCTGTGGCCCTTTCACAACTACCGCAGAGACCTTTCCAAGGTTGTCTCTGTGAAGCCTCGATGTCATGTTGGAGGATCCCTCTTCTTTCTTTGGTGATTGCAACTCATGCCTGGGGGCATGATTCTTCCTGACTTTGGCCAGCCACTGGGGAGGATTTCCTCTCTGATCCAGTGAGTTCCACCATAACAGTGGGACTGCACTGCTTAGCAGCTGCTAGCAGAGAGACTATCCCTGGAGCAAACTAGGAGCGGAAAGCTGCTTCCCTGAGGGGCCTCCCATCTCCTTGGGGGAACTGGAGGGATGAGGCAAGCCTGAGGAAGTTGAAGGGGCAGAAATGGCAAGGCACCCCATCGCGTGTTTGGAGGTGAGCTTTGCAAAGCATCTGCTAAGGGCTGTTTTCAGGTAGGTAAGCTTTGGGTAACAGGCATGCAATTAACTAACATGGTTACTGTTATCCATCCATCTAAGTCGCCATAGCCCAAACCCACAATCAAAATTCCAGAGGATGGGTGCATGAGAGTCACTCCAGGAAAATGCATGCATTGTAAAATACTAATGGGCTGATAATAAAACCCTATGTGAGCCCTGTGGCATAGCAGTTACAAATGTGGCCCTGGGCAAGATACTTAACCTAAGCTTTAATAAAATGGAAACAATAATTGTTCAGAACATCATAGGAAATAATCTATGTAGAGCATGAAGTGAACGCTGAGCACATAGACAAAAGAGAAAGCACAAGGAGTGCCGAGCTCTGGAATCTTGGCTACTGTCTGGCGGGGCTGCGGCTGTGTGGGCGCCCGTGCGCAGTGCGCGGGGGAGCCTTCTTGGGACTTCTCTTTCCGCCGCTCCCCAACCTGAAGCTCGGTACCTATGGGACACTGGGCAGGTCTGCGCTGGTGCTCCAGGCCAAGGGCTGACCTGAAGACTGGTGCAATAATTGCCGCGGGGAGAGGCGCGGCCCCTAGAGCTCAGAGCTCGCTGAAGCCAGCTGGGTGGGTCGAGGGAAAGGCGGGGCGCTGTGTAATGTTCCAGCTGGGAAAGGCTTTACGTGGCTTGTCGGAACTGCATTTGTGGTTTCTTAGACAGTGAAGAAAGTGAAAACAGTGGGAAATTTTTTCCGAGGTACTTCATACTGGATCCCAGAGAAGAGAGTTTTGTTTGGTACATAGATCATCCACAGAACCTGCTTTCTGGATCCAACAGCTCTGTTGGAGTCATTAAACTTACCCACATTTCAAAGGTCAACGATGCAACTAAGCAAAGGCCAATTTTGTTTTGTTGTGAATGCAGGGAGGAGAAAATATTTCCTACAAGTCAATGATCAGCAGGATCTAGTAGAATGAGTAAATGTGGTGAACAAAGCTATAAAAATTACAGTACCAAAACGAGGTATTACTATTTTTCTGTTTTTAAATTTATTTTTAATTGGAGGGTAAGTTCTTTACAGTGTTATGTTGGTTTCTGCGGTACAGTAATGTGACTCAGCTATTTGTTGTTTACTTGCTAAGTCCTGTCTGACTGTTTTCGACCCCATGGACTAGCCCAGCAGGCTCCTCTGTCCATGGGATTTCCCTGGCAGGAATACTGGAGTGGGTTGCTGTTTTCTTCTCCAGGGGGTCTTTCCGACCCGGGGATTGAACAGCACATCTCCTGCACTGGTGCATGGATGCTTTACCCCTGAGCCACGAAGTATACATATATCCCCTCCTTCTTGAGCTTCTCTTCCATCCAGCTGCCCATCACAGCCTCATTCTGATAACCCAAGTCGTCAAGGTGAATGTGAAAGAAGCAAATGTCTTATAGAACTGACATTGGTGGTGGTGCGCCCATTGTTACCCCAACTCAGCAAAAGGAAGTAAATGAACATGGTAAAACTATTGACTGAAATAAGGTGAAGTGGTCACAAAGCCATCTTCCTTACTTTACTCCCAGACTGCCTTCAGACAGTGCAGTGATCAAAGCTGGTTATTGTGTCGAGCAAGGAGCAGTGATGAAAAACTGAAAGAGAAGATATTTTCAGTTGGATGGAGACACAAGAGCCTACTTCAAATCTGAACTGGAAAAGGAACCTTTCTGCGTACAGCCACTTAAAGAGCTTCATCAAGTCCAGGAATGTCAGCAAAGTGACATGATGATGAGACATACCCTCTTTGAAGCTGTAACATCATATCGAACTTTCTATGTGCAGGCTGATGGCACAGTTGGATTCAAGCAGTTTTGGGTGCCATTTTAGCGCTGCAGGACCCACAGATCTGCATCTTCTATGCCTCAGGAAGAAGGCTGTGAAATCTGTGTATACAGAAGAGCATTCCAACAGTCCTTCCGAATCCAAACATGCACTCCGCTCTGCCAGTCCTGCAGCAGCCACGCCACATTCCACAGCCTCTCGCAGCAACCCTTTGGAGGGAGGATTTTATGAATCTCTTGCCAAGGTCAAGCCAGGGAATTTCAAAGGCTTGACTGTCTTTTCCAAGAGAAGCAGCTTCCACAGTGACTGAACAAGCTCTGCTAAAACTTCAAAGTGAAAACGGCCCTTGGGAACAAGTTTGTTACCCTGTGGATTTGGAGGACATGAGCCTTCCGGTCAGTGATGTGCATGTAAGGTGGAAACACGGGGAGCCTGACCTGTCTCATCAGCCCTTGGTGTTCTTCATAAGGCTTCTTGCCAGTGATAAAGGGGAAATGGGTTTTAATGCATATAGTATCCTGTGTCGTTGCTGTCCTCTCTTATAAGCTGGTAAGCCAAGAACAAAATGGGTTTAGAAAAGGCAGAGGAACCAGAGATCAAATTGCCCACATTCGTTGGATCATAGTGAAAGCAAGGGAATTCCAGAAAAACATCTACTTCTGCTTCATTGACTACACTAAAGCCTTTAACTGTGTGGATCACAACAATCTGTGGGAAAAAAAAAAAATCTGTGGAAAATTCTTAAAGAGATGAGAATACCAGGACCAGCTTACCTGTCTCCTGAGAAACCTGTATGCGGCTCAAGAAGCAACAGTTAGAACTTTACATGGAACAACTGACTGGTTCAAAATTGGGAAAGGAGTATGAACAAGGCTGTATTGTCAGCCGTTTATCTAACTTCTATGGAGAGTACATCATGTGAAATGCCAGGCTGGATGAGTTACAAGCTGGAATCAAGATTGCTGGGGGAAATATCAACAGCCTCAGATATGTAGATGATACCACTCTAATGGCAGAAAGCAAAGAGGAACTAAAGAGCCTCTTGATGAGGGTGAAAAAGGAGAGTGAAACATCTGGCTTGAAACTCAATATTCAAAGAACTAAGATCATGGCATCTGTTCCTATCACTTTAAGGCAAATAGAAGGGGAAGAATTAGAAGCAGTGACCGATTTTATTGTCTTGGGCTCCAGAATCACTGCAGACGGTGATTGCAGCCATGTAATTAAAAGATGCTTGCTCCTTGGAAGGAAAGTTACGACAAACCTAGACAGCATATTAAAAAGCAAAGACATTAGTTTGCTGACAAAGGTCCGTATAGTCAAAGCTATGGTTTTCCAGTAGTCATGTATGGATGTGAGTTGGACTGTAAAGAAAGCTGAGGGCCGAAAAATTGATGCTTTTGAACTGTGGTGCTGGAGAAGTCTCTTGAGAGTCCCTTGAACTGCAAGGAGATCAAACCAGTCAACCTTAAAGGAAATCAGTCCTGAATATTCATTGGAAGGACTGATGCTGAAGCTGAAGCTCCAATATTTTGGCCACCTGATGTGAAGAACTGACTCACTGGGAAACACCCTGATGCTAAGAAAGATTGAGGGCAAAAGGAGAAAGAGGTGGCAGAGGGTGAGATGGCTGGATGGCAGCACCGGCTCTATGGACATGAGTTTGAGCAAACTCAGGGAGATAGTGAAGGACAGGGAAGGCTGGCGTACTGCAGTCTATGGGGTCGCAAAGAGTCAGACAACAGCAAGCCAAGAAGTTAGGGAGTAACCTAACTAAATGTAGTTTTGTAGTGGCCTCCCCAACCCAAAGTGTGATGGGCCCTTCCTTCCTCTCTCCCTGGAGCCAGCTGGCATGGGCCTCGAAGGCAGAGGCCACTCCGCCACAGCTCTAACCCACCAGACCAGCCTGTGCCCACTGCCCACTCACTGTGCAAGCGGCCAGGTGGGAGCTCCGCTCCGGGGACGCCAGCTCCTCGGCCACTTCATCGGTCAAAACTGACCGGGGAAGCCAGTTGGCAGGCTGAGCCCACGGTGCCGGCCACCTCAGACAGTGATCCCAACAACAGGCGTGTCAACTCCCCCTGCGTGGCCACCTCGGTTTCTGCTCCCCACACGTCTCACTCCTTGAGAGCTGGAGGATGACCTTGCTAGAGCCGCCCGTTACTTCCTGAGACCCGGCCGCTTTCTTGGGTCGCATCTTTCTGCTCAGGGTGCAATAGCGGCTTTGCTCACCCTTGGTCAGTGCCAGAGGGAGCCCCTCCACACTCTGGTGAGCAGAATGAGCTTGGGCTCGGAAACAGTTTCTTTTACAAAGAAAAGAAAATTAATTCTTAATAAACACTTGAGCTTTGTTATGAAAAAAATAAAAAAGAAAAAGAAAAGAAAAAAGCCCTAGTGTGTCTCAGTAGCAACTGTCTGATGCTTTGTTCTCATGGGGTGATAAAAGTGTGTGTGTGACATTTTTTTCCTAGTGAGTCTGACAATTTAAATGTTTCACAATTTAAAACATGAAAATGTTTCCTAAGTATTTTGGTTATTTTTAAAATGCTACTGTGACTAGACATTCAAACTCTACGCATCCTTACTGGTTAATATTATTGAATGAAATAGTACCAAAGATGTCTAAACTCTTGACATCTGTGGTGCTGTAAAATGTATACTATAAATTGGACGATTTTGAAATTTTAACCATTTTTGATGCTCTGGATCTCAAGGTGAGCTGTGAGTTTTCCATAGAGGATATTATTGGACTATCAGTAAGGGTTGTGGGTTGTACTGGAGTGGAGAAAGGGGGAGAATTAGAATTCAAATAGCTATAACTCGGACATTTGTAAAACTTTAGTCAAGATGTACAACATTTATTGCTTTATTAAGTGAAAATTCTTTGCCGTGATATTTCTTGGAGATTTGATTTTCTTGTCAAAGTTTCCTCAATAGTCCTTACTCCATGTTTGGGTCAGTGAAAGACCTCAAGTTTATATGTAAAGGCTCCTGGAGTTTGCTCAAATTCATGTCCATTGAGTCAATGATGCCATCCAACCATCTCATCCTCGTCACCCTTTTCTTTTGCCCACAGTCTTCCCCAGCATCAGGGGCCTTTCCAGTATGTCGGCTCTTTGGCTGTTACTTCTACATTTGGATCAGTGAAAGACCTCAAATTTATATGTAAGGACCTCAAGTTTATATGTAAAGACCCTCAGTCATGTGACTGTAGTCTCTGCTTTTTGTCACTAATAATCTATATTCACGTGTCTGTATTTTTTTATCTTGTTTAGGAATGTTTTGAGATTAATGTACTCAAAAGTCCTCCCTGATGGGTTTTATACAATTGGGATAAAATTAATTTTCAGTAGCGTAGGTTAATGTGCTAAATAACATACTATTTTGTGTTAGAGATACTGGAATACTGTTATTCTACTATCTGTGTAGTATTTATATTTTAAATGTGTCTTTTTTAAAGAGTTTTTTTTAATGTGGACCAATTTTAAAGTCTTTTATTGAATTTGTTACATTATTGCCTTTGTTTTATGTTTTGGTTTTTTGGCCCCAAATGTAGGGGATTTTAGCCCCCTACATTGGAAGGTTAAGTCTTAACTAGACTGCCAGGGAAGTCCCTCAATATATGTTTTAAAAACACAAATTTGAGTATACATTTAATCATGGGGATATCATAAATATAAGCGCTTCTCTAAAAAGTCATTATTTACAGGAGTTGAATAATAGACCAATATGACCAAGTAGTGTTTTTATGGTTCAGTCTTAAACATTTGCTTTAAGAAAATAGCCTTGAATTTCACATGCTGCTATTTTTATGATTTTTTTTGCCACATTACAGCACTGTGTTGTTTTGAATTCACACATGTCACTGTTTCTCCTTTCCATTTTCTAAGATGACTTCTTGTTTGAGAAAGAGAAAGAGGGAGTGGATTTCTTACTACAGTGTTGGGGTCTAGAGGTTACTATCTATTATAATATAATGATCATAGCATCAGTTTAAAAATCCAAATGTATAAATGTACCACTCCACATTTTTATTCATGAGCTAATACTTTAAAAACTTATATTAGATTTTTTTTCTTTTTCACAGTTACATTTGAAAATGACAGAATGAAAAGGCTTTATTCTCTTTCTCTGCAGATATATCCATTACATCGGCTCTTTTAGAAAGCTCATTTTTCATGAACACACCTAAGACATATTGTGCAGACGGTTGACAATATTCAGGACTTTAATGCTGTTTTCTTTGGTACAGCTTCCACATTGCATGTTCATTTTAATATTTTGGTATGGTAATTTAATATACTTCAGAGTGGAAAAATATTAGCTTTATTTTGGGACTTTTTATAGAACTACCGTTGTATTCAATAGCATGGGAAAATGTTCTTATGAGTTTCAGGGTCTCTTTATCTCAGTACTTTTATAATTCTGTGAAAATTATTTGATTATTTTAGAACTTACACTTTTGTTGTAAGTATGCCATATCTGATTTGTCAAAAGATTACTTTGAATACCGTAATATTTGCTGCATTTTTTTTCTGTAAATGTAACATGACGTCTTTCAGAATGGAAATACACATGTGCTTCCCAATGTTTACTTATATGTCTGATGTCTTCATACGTCAAACTGTAATGACGAGAATAAATGTTCAAAATTAATTCTAAAACAAAAAATAAACAAAGAAACAAAAACCCAGAAAGCACAGATGAGAGCATAAGCCTGAAGCAGAAAGACTGTCTTTGTTCGTTGAGAAAGGCCAGAGATGAGGCACAAGGCCAAGGTTTCTAATTGCCTGTGGAATGTTTTATTTTGCAGAGGTCCTGCTGGAAGCTTTGTACTTCACCGTGGATCCTTACATGAGGTATTATTTTCCTCTGGAAAATTCTTATGTTGTGCATTGGATACTACCTTGCCATGGGCAATCCTTTAGAATATCCCAGCTGATTCAAAACACTGTCACTTCCCCATTTCTCCCAGTATGATGTCAGTGATGGGATTCATGGATACTCATCTTTTTCAGGCAAAAGTCTGAGCAGAATGGTGGTAGACAACACTGGCCCCTTTATTTTACGAGCATCCCCTATCTTACTGTGTTCCATTTGCCCCTCATCATTCACCAGAATTGCTTCCCAAAACACTGAAAGAAGAAAGAAGCCAAACTCCAGTTTCTCCATGTCACTGTTCACAAATAATTTGGGTAGAGGAAGATGGCTGAGACTAAAATTAGATTTTCTTGCCTTTCCTTTACATATATTCTTATAATTTAGGTAATCCACAGCTGACTAAACTGTGTGTACTTAGTAAGCAATTCGGGGTGGGGAGGGAATAAAAGCTTTCATTGGCCGCTGACTCAATAACTTTTTGCCTAGGTGAACACTGCAGTCATCATTCTTTTAAATATTTTTTTTTTCATAGTTGATTGATAGAGATTCAAATCTAAAGTGAAAAATGTATTTCCAGATGTTAACTAGCACTTCTTTTTTCATGCATGTCTAGTGTTTTGGGTAACGAGTGCCCAGTGGTACCTGGGTTATGTTTTCAAAGTCATTGGTAGAAATTCAGCCACAGTTGAGCATGATGGTAAGATTCTTATGTTCATTTCATAGAAAAATGCTACCAGATCAGAACCGCCTGTCACAGCTTTCCTCCCCCTGTTTCACCCAGCTGTACTGCCCTCATGTGGCTGGCTGGGTTTCAGTTTTATTCACACTTCCCTAGTGGTTTTCCATTTGGCTTGAAACTTAAGACTGTTTTTTCCCAGATGCTCCTATATATTAAGAATGGTTTTGTTTTGTTTCAGAGTTATGGAAAAAAGCTTGAAGGAGGGTGACATGATGATGGGAGAGCAAGTGGCCAGGTAGTGATATCCTTTTGTCCTAGTGCTTGGAAAATACGTCTCCCCTTTACCTTTTACTGGGCCCTGTTTCTGTCCATCACTCCTACAATTTCTTCAGCTTGCGCGGGTCACTCACTGTTCAACCTTGGACAGAACTTGGGAAATCTGTCCTTTTCCTGACTAGCTGATGGGGAGGGAAGAAGGTGAAATTCTTATCATTGCAACTTTGCTTTGCTATCCTTACTTTTAAGTACTAAAAAAAAAAGTGTATTCATGCAGTTACTGATTATTATAAAAATTCAAATAAGATAAAAATTTATATATTGGAAACTGAAAGTTCCCCCATCATCTGAACCTTAGAGATGACTGTCATTAATGTATTATATTTCAAAACTTGTTCAGTACACGTACTAATATTTATAATCTTTAAGGGGATTAAAAGCCCTTAAAAGCAAATTGCTTTCCCTCAATATGTCATGACTATCTTTTGTTGACAGTGTATAAATATACCACTTACCTTTTAATGGCTTGCAGATTATGCCATTGTTTTTATTGTTGTTCAGTCACTAAGTCCGACTGTTTGCAACCCCCATGGATTGTAGTCCTCCTGGTTCTTCTGTCCGTGGGTTCTCAGGCAAGAATACTAGAGTGGGTTGCCATTTCCTACTGCAGGGGATCTTCCCAGATCAGCGGTCAAAACTGCATCTCCTGCATTGGCAGGCAGACTCTTTTACCACTGAGCCACCTGAGAAGCTCATTTCCATTGATACCTGACATTTAACTTATCTACTCCTAATAACAGTTGTTTCCAGTTTTTTCCACTGGAAATAGTTCTGCAAGGAATATGCATACGTCGATTGGAGTATATCTCTGTATTCTTTGCCCACTTGGATGACTATCGCTTTATGTTGAATTCCCAGAAGTGTAAACTCTAGGTCAGAGAAGATGTACATTTTAATTTAAGAGATAACGACAGATTTCACTTCAAAAAGATTATATCCATTCCTACCAATAGTGTCTTAAAGAACCTATTTCCTTGGTAGCTATATGATCATTGCTAACTATCACTCTTGGCAATCTGAGGTGAATAAATGATACTTAGTTGATCTTGCTTATTCGATGCTTAGTTTAATTTGCATTTCTTTCATTATTAGTGATGTTGACATTCTCTTTGTAAATTAATGCCTTTCTTCTGTGAATTATCTGTTCATGTCATTTGCCCTTTTAAGTCTTTTCATCTTTTAAATTGATCTATAAAACTTCTTGTGTGTTATGAATATTAGTACTGAAAACATTTGGGCCTTTGTTTATCTTTCTTTTGCGTCCAGTCATAACTGAAAAATTTTATGTGATAAAATTTCATGATTAGAATGGCATCCTCTCCTCCAAAATTGCTAGAATATTTATTCACTTTTTCTTCTGGTATGTTATATTTTATCTTCTAGACATTTAATTTTTATTTTGGAGCAAGGACTAAAATGTTTATGCTTCAAATGACTAGCAAGTTATAATACCATTTATTGAAATTCTATTTGGATTTTTATTAGGATTTCCATGACTTTATAGATTCATTTATGGGAAATTGATTTATTTACAATATTTCTCTCCAAGCACAAGGTATATATCTCTTCATTTATCCATTTTTGTCTCATGGCCTATTAACAGTTTTCTTCATATAGGATGAGCTTAAATGATAGTGAAGGAGATCATACTTCCATGCTGAGGGAGAGGGACAGTGAGAGAGGAAACGTTGAGGACTCAAGAGAAAGGAAGGGCTAAGAAATGAAGGGTAGCCCCTGAAGAAAAGAAGAGGCTGATGTCCAGGTCACCTTGAGCCAGAGGATGCACTTCTCTTGCTTAGAGAGGAGTGAGTGATGGCAGGGACAGATGCTGGACCAGCTGAGAATTCCTCTCTGATGGCCCATGTTTTTTTCTCAAGGAGAGACCAGTGGCTAAGAATTGTGATGGAGAGATGTGGTAGGGTATTTGATCAAGGACTATCAAACTCAGTGCCCCTTTGTGGACACTAACCATGCAGCATCCAGACTCCCTTGAAAGGAAGGGGTCTCACATGTCTGAATGTGCTTTCTCTTTCAGAGTTGTGGAAAGTAAAAATTCAGCCTTCCCAACGGGAACTATTGTGGTGGCTCCTTCCGGCTGGACAACACACTCCATTTCTGATGGGGAAAAACTGGAAAAGGTGCTTGCAGAGTGGCCGGACACATTACCACTGTCTCTGGCTCTGGGAACGGTTGGCATGCCCGGGTGAGTTTCATGGGTATATTTCACTCGTTTGAATCCCTGGTTTTCCAAAATGGTTGGTCCGGAGCTTGATTAACAAGAAGAGACTTGAGGCATTCTAAGCTCAGGAGTGGATTAGAGAGGATAATCGGACTAAGAAGGGAATAAGAGGGGCTGGAGTTCGCTTTGGGGTGGAAGTGGAGAGAGGCAGGGTCAGGTACAAGGAGGAAGTGACAGTGAGGAACAGCAGGGGGCATGGTGCCTCTCAAGCCCCTGGCAAGTGGTGACACAAAAGAACCAGTTCCTTCTGTCCCTGGAAAGGTCCTCCTTCACCCCTCACTCATCTCCCTCCATTTCAGAGCTGGAAAGGGAGAGAGAGTTCAGTGCACCTTGGCCTTTCTGTATCATCTCTGATCCCTCACCTCCTTTCGACGTCTGAGTTTCCAGAGGTGTCAAAGGATCTGAAATTTAATAACTGAGATGAATCACAATAGTTGTACAGTCACTCAGTGTGGACAGCTTTAAAATAGCCCGGTGTCTCTTGGCCTGGCCCTCAGGAAGACTCCTGGTCAGTTCATCCTGTGTCTATTCTCCAGGCCCCCGCTGCTCTCTGCGCCTCAAGGTTCTTCTCATGCCCTGGAGAAGCAAGGTTGACAGAATTCCTTTCAGAGTCCCCAAAACTGTTCTAAGCTATGTGATCCTTTTCTTCCTTCTTTCCTTCTTCCCACTCTTCTGCCCTCCTTCTTTTTAACCTTTTGGAGGACTTCTAGAGAATGAAACATTATTCATTTCATGGAATGAAATGATCAGCCTCCTGCATAACCAATCTCTTACATCTCAAGTTCCTGTAACACTCAGAATTTGAACTCCTCAGAATTACCACAGTCAAGAGACAACATTGTGAAATTAGAGGATGCTTAATGCCTTCTTGAGGAGAAGGCAATGGCACCCCACTCCAGTACTCTTCCCTGGAAAATCCCATGGACGGAGGAGCCTGGTAGCTGCAGTCCATGGGGTCGCGAAGAGTTGGACATGACTGAGCGACTTCACTTTCACTTTTCACTTTTATGCATTGGAGAAGGAAATGGCAACCCACTCCAGTCTTCTTGCCTGGAGAATCCCAGGGACGGGGTCGCACAGAGTCAGACACGACTGAAGTGACTTAGCAGTAATGCCTTCTTGGGCCTCCCAGGTGGTGCTAGTGGTAAAGAACCCACCTGCCAATGCAGGAGATTCAACCAGGTTTGATCCCTGGTTCAGGAAGATTCCCTGGAGGAGGGCATGGCAACCCACTCCAGTATTCTTGCTTGGAGAGTCCCAGGGACAGAGGAGTCTGGTGGGCTACAGTCCATGGGGCTGCAAAGAGTCAGACCCTACCGAAGTGACTCAGCAATGCCTTCTTACATGCAGATAGTGGGCACTAAACAGAATGACAGCCTTCTCGATCCTTCCTGCCTGGCCTGTACCCTCTATGGTGACAGCACTTCCTCTCGCCTTGTTATTCCACCCGTCCTTCTCTCTAAATTGTGACCCAGGGGTAGGAGCACGGGGTGAAGGCAGACACGAGGAAACCACAGGGTCAGTCTCCCATGACTTAGTTGGAGAGAAAGTAATTTGTAAAATATTAGGAGATTTGAATTCTAAAACAGAAGATAGTTTATTCATTTGTGGGTATATTTCTCATTCACCTGTTCCAAGTCCCTAAGAAGTACATTTTTACTCCAAACAATTAACTTCATACAGTGGTTCTCAAAGACTGAGTGGGAGGGGTTATACAAGCCACATTTCTAGCCTCCCCTAGCCACACATCACCCATTCTTTGAGAATTTTTGCGTAGATGAGCCGCTTACCAACAGGATGGGTCAACACTTCCAGAATCCAGGAGCTTCCGCTAATCTATGAAAGAAGTTGAACTTTGAAACCTAGGGACTTTCAGCTGTCCAGGCTCCAAAGATTTCGCATCCTCCCAAAGTATTGCATTATTTCTATCAACGGGACCTCTGTCTTCCTCTTCGGCTGAAAGAGTTTAAGTGTTTTTCTCTCCAACATGTTGATTCTATCCAGTCACCCTTCATCCAAAGCATATCTTTGGGTCTTCCCTGGTGGTCCAGTGGCTAAGGCTCCATGCTCCCAATGCAGGGGGCCCGGGGTTCGATCCCTGGTCAGGGAAGTAGATCCCACATGCAGCAACTAAGACCTAACACAGTCAAAGAAATAAATAAAAACAAATATTATTTAAAAAAACAAACAAAACAAAGCATACCTTTAATTTTCCCTATAGGATTTCTTTATTGTTGGCCTCTCCATCTTATCTCCAGTTTACTTTTATTTATTACTTTTTAATTAATTTTGGGGGGGTTGTGCTGGGTCTCTCTTGCTGCACTCAGGCTTTCTCAAGTTGCAGCAAGTGGAGGCTGGTGTCCCTTGGGGTGCATGGGCTTCTCACTGCAGTGGCTTTTCCTGTTGTGAAGCACAGGCTGTAGGCCCAGGAGCTTCCGTTGTTGAGGCTTATAGGCCCCAGAGTGCATGCTGCTGCTAAGTCACTTCAGTCGTGTCCGACTCTGTGCGACCCCATAGACAGCAGCCCACCAAGCTCCCCCATCCCTGGGATTCTCCAGGCAAGAAGACTGGAGTGGGTTGCCATTTCCTTCTCCAATGCATGCATGCATGCTAAGTCACTTCAGTCGTGACTGACTCTGTGTGACCCTATGGACAGCAGCCCACCAGGCTCCTCCATCCACAGGATTCTCCAGGCAAGAATACTGGAGTGGGTTGCCATTTCCAGAGTGCATGGGCTTCAGTAATTGTGGCACATGGGCTTCCTTGCTCTGCAGCATGTGGAATCTTTCCAGACCAGGCATTGAACTCATGTCCCTTGCATTGGCAGGTGGATACTTATTCACTGTAACACCAGGGAAGTTCTCCAGTTTACTTTTAAAAGATGATGTTTGGGAAAGACCTTGTATGTTTTAAGTCAGTATATCTAATTGAACACTGACTTTGCAAATATCTAGAAGGGAAATTGCGGGAGGGGGCCTAAGGATTGTTGTGGGTGGCTTGACCCTCTCTGAAATATACCTTCTGCTTCTTTCTGGGAGTTAGGTTAACTTATCCACACACTCTGGTATCAGCATCCATTAAGGTAGTGGTTCTCAGTTGTTTGCATTCATAAGAATTACCTAGAGTCCTATTAAATTCAGATTTCCTCATCTCAGTATTTTCAAATCAGTGGGACTGGGAATCCAAATTTTTAATAAAACTTCAGTTGATTTTGAGGCAGATGGTTGTTCCATCCATCTTTTGAAAAACACTGGGTCAAGGGAACTTTAGATATGTGGGTCCTCAGAAAAAGTGCTGTCTGCCTTTCTTTGCTTTCCCTCCAATGCCCAACTCTATCTGGCCCTCAAATGTAATCAGAGGCTGAGTAAGCTTAAGTTATGCCAGTGTGTAGCTTTGTGTTACACATAAATAACTTTCTAGGACTCTGTCTGAAATTTTGCCAGTGGCTCAACAATCACCGTGATGGAACAGGTTTCATGGGCTCGGACTCAGGGGTATAAAAATAGAACTTAAAGTTTTTCTACTCCTATGTTTCATTTCTGTCTCCAGCTGGTATAGTAAAATAAACCTTAGTTAAACCAATGATTTCTCACATCATTTCAGGATCATACTCATAATTTCCTTTGTCTTCTCCCTAGGATAGATGCAAAGCTTCCAGGGCTAACACAAACCTGGTGCCAATAGAGGCGGGGACAGCAACTTCTTGCTCTTAATCTGTCTTAGTCCGGTGCTGATCATCAGTCTCAAAGCATAACTTTTCCGATTGAGTCCTCAGCCACATCCCTTCTGAGCTGGAACTCCACTGAGGCATGGTGGTTTCCTCACCTATTCACCACTGGGTGCTGTCTGAGCTGCATCTTTGCAGGCCCACTAGTTCTTTCCCTGCCAGCTGACTTTGGCATTTCACTCCAAACAAGATGGGGGAACTGTAAGAGTTCTTCCACACACTTCAGAGCATGGGAAACTCAAGGTGTTTCTCCCTGACCCCCTCAGGCCCAGATACCATCCACATACAGTCATATCTGCTCTGGGACTAGGGCGCCATGATGACATGGAGGCTTTCTCCATGAAGCTCATCATCTCCCTAGGATTTACATGAGAATGAGGCATAAGTTGTCTGTTCTGGGATCCCTAAGGTTTAAGGGGAACCAATTTTCCTTCACCCTTGAAAGCTGGCCTGGAGATGGACAGGATACTGCTCTCTTCGAGCCACCTTGCTGTTCTATCCATAGTTCCCATCATCTTTATTCCTTTCCTGGAGGTAAAGAAGGAGGAAGTGGACCATTGGTGGCTGGTAATATCCATTTCCTATATTTTCTGTCTTTTACCTGGACCCATGCCATTGGGCTGCTGAGAAGGTCTTCAGGGTATAAATAAATAAGATACTGAGGAAAGAAACAAATTCATCCACATAGTCTTGCTTTTCTTCCCTCAGCCTAACAGCCTACTTTGGCCTGTTTGACATCTGTGGAGTGAAGGGTGGAGAAACAGTGCTGGTTAGTGCGGCAGCAGGAGCAGTGGGCTCTGTTGTGGGGCAGATTGCTAAGCTCAAGGTAAGTGTCTTCCTCCATAACAACCACTGACTTGACACCCACAGTGTGCACTGGGAATGCAGCAGTGGACACAGCAGACCTTGCCTCATCTCCGGGAGTTTGGTCTAGTTGACCTCTTGTAGAGGGTGGATACTGGGAATGACTGAGAAATGGGGGGATCAGGGGAAGTGGTGTAGCAATGATGACCTGAACATTGTTATTTGATAACATTGCAGGTATCACATCAGGAATGGATTCTGCTAGTGAGTTGGTAAACTATTCTCGCAGTTTTTACTGAATGTTTCTTGTTACAACTTAATCTCCTTTCTTCGTGATTGCCCCAAACAACTGAAGAAGGGACTTGATCAGCCAACCAATGGCCCTATGCCCCTATGGCCCCATTTCAAAGGTTACTGCAGTCAGCCCAGAGCAGTGGGGCCCTAGCTTGGAAACTAACTCACAGGAGGCGCCCAGGCCTTGGAAACACTGGCTCTGATATGGACGGGTGTTTGTGCTCAAGAGATCTGATCTGATGGTGGGAATACAAGACATCAGGCAGCTCAGATGTGGTCAGGATGTACCGCATTATAGAAATGTTCCAAGGGGATCTGGTTTGGCTGATCCTTTGCCAGAGGGTGGATGCAGGACCTAGTTTCAGGGCCTAGTTTCTAGTGAAAGAGTTAGGGAGAAAACAGATGAGTACAGGGCTATGACCAACAGCCAAGTGTTCGGGCTGGTATCCAGTGCTGATGGGCACTTGGAATACAAATAGATGAGGCTATCATAGTGGTTGCAGGAAGAATTTATTTAAATAAGTAAATAAATAAGAATAAATGTTGAATTTTATCATACTTTGCAGTTAAAGAATTATGTTAGTTTCCTAATCTTAAACCATAATAGCATTCTGGAATAATCTTTATTTACCTATGGTATATATTAAATTTATACTCTTGGAATTGATCTAATAACATTATATATAGAATATTTGCATCTATATTCATAGGTGAGTTTGGTTTAAAGTTTGGAACGTATCAGGGCTTAGCTTTGGATTATACTAGACTTATAAAATGAACTAGTAATATTTCCAAAATTCAAATTTTAAATGTTTTATTAAAATTTTAAGGGATTTTTTGGGGGGAATTCTCTAATGGCCTTATGGTTAGGACTCTGTGCTTTCTCTGCTGAGAACGCAGGTTCAGTCCCTGGTCAGGGAAGTATGAGCCCTCACACCACATGGTATCGTTAAAAAAATAATTTTTTTTTAAGGAATTTTTATTTCAAAAGTTTGATAGGACTTATCCTTAAACCTGTTCTTTCAGAAACTTCACTAGCGACTGCCATGCTAAGAAGTCAGTGCTTAATCCTTAGAGGAGTGACATGCTTAATCCTTGATTTTAGAGAAATCATCTTGGCCTTTGGAGAACAGTTCATAGGGACATGATACTAGGAACAAGAAGTCAAATTAGGAGGCTCTTACAGTAATTCAGATGAAAATTATGACAGACTGACAGTGAAGATAGAAAGTCAGAAGTAACTTTTAAGGATATTTGGTGAAAAAGAATAAAACCTGGTGATTGGATGTGGATAGCAAGAGGGCAGAAAGCAAGCATCTCCTCTGACCCACGTGTTTCAGGTCTGGTTAACTGGGTGACTGAGTATCACTCACTACAATAGAGAACAGAGGAGGAACACCAGGTAAGAAGCAAGGGAAAAAACAGATTCCACTTTAGACACATTGATTATGAGGCTCCACGGGCTATCCAAGTGTAGATTAGTAGAGGTCTTTAGAAATACTGATTTGGAACTCAGGGTAGAGGCCTGGCTGGAGTTAAGAGGCAAGGGAATCATCTGCAGGAAGGTGGCAGTGAGGTGGTAAGAGTAAATGAAATCATCCCATGAGAGTGTATGCTTAGAAGGAACAAGGACCAAGGCTAGAGACTGTGCAAAATCATTTCTTCTTGAATCAGGAATGAGTGGAAAAACTATATGGCAGCTGTTTGTGCAGATACATACATGGTATGTACCCAATCCAGGTGAAAGTGAACAGAGGCTGATATTCTGGTCTTCACGATGCATTCAGAATAGAACTTTCTAAAAAGCTACTCTCTATGTGCCAATATAATCTCTGTTCTCACGCTGAATGCACTCCACTTCCTCTATGATTAGGCAGTATTTAAGCCAACGCTTTGGGCCAAATCACAGAATATGGGGCAGCTACCTAGAGGTCTCTCTATGATATGAGAGTTACAGGGCTGAACCAAAATTACAGTCTAAAGTGCCACTGCACCAAGAGATAGCAGGCAAGTCACTGCAAGGGGGGAGCCCCAACATGAAGAAACAGGAGAGTCTAAGGAGTAGGCTGTCAAAGTTGAAAAGAGCTGCCAACCACCTAAACGTAGGAGGGATCTGTTGGGTGGGCAGAGGCAAGCTGAAGTTACATCTGGGTTGTATCATAGGCTACTTTAGGGACTAATCTAACCTCTAGGGTCTGTTGACCCATTATATATGTGACTCAGCACCTAGGAGGCTGTTCTGGGAGAACCTGGCCATTCTAGTCTAGGAGGATAGAGTTGGCCCTGGATGTGGTTTATAAATGGTTTTCATTTGTCTCCCCATTTAGGGCTGCAAAGTTGTTGGAACAGCAGGGTCTGATGAAAAAGTTGCTTGGCTTAAAAAGCATGGATTTGATGTTGCCATTAACTACAAAACAGTAAAGTCTTTGGAAGAAGCTCTGAAAGTAGCCGCTCCTGAGGGTTATGATTGTTATTTTGATAATGTAAGTACAAATTAGACTTAATATTTGACTTACTAACAAAGTACTATACCAGGAAACCTACGTCTAGAGTTTCCATATGAAATATATGAGGAAAGCCCATATGCCCTTTTTAAAAAAACAGCTTTATTGGTATTTCCCCAGTGGCTCAATGGCAGACTCCCTGCACCCAGTGCAAGGGGCCTGAGTTTGATCCCTGGTCAGGGAATTAGATCCCGCAAATAAGAGTTCACATGCCACCACTGAAGATCCCACATGCCGTTAACTAAGACCCAGTGCAGGCAAATAAATAATTTTAAAAAATTTTTGAAGGCATTTAACAAAAATAAAAAACAGCTTTATTGGGATATAATTTACCCATTTAAAGTATAAGACTTGATCATTTTTAGTGTGTGTGTTCACAGAATTGTACAACTCTTTGCACAATTTTAGAACATTTTCATCACTCCAAAAAGAAATGCTGTGCTAAGTAGCAGTCAGTCCTCCTAAAGTGATCTTTGGTGACTGGCTTCTTACACTTAACATGTTTTCAAAATCCACCCATGTTGTAGCATGTTTATCAGTATTTCATTCCTTTTTATACATTTTTTCATTGAAATATAGTTGATTTTCAGTGTTGCTTCATTGCATTTTATGACCAAAAATATTCCATTGTATGGACACATCACATTTTATCAATCATCCATCAGTTGATCGGCAAATGAGTCATTCACACTTGGCTATTAAGTATAATGCTATTTTGATCATTCATATGCAGTTTTTGTGTGGATATAAATGTTCATTTCTCTTAATTACAAGCAGAATTGTCAGGTCATATGGTATCACCATGTTTAACATTTTGAGGAACTGCCATCAGTTCAGCTCAGTTCAGTCGCTCAGTCATGGCCAACCCTTTGCTACCGATGGACTGCAGCACACCAGGCCTCCCTGTCCATCACCAACTCCCAGAGTTTACTCAAACTCATGTCCATTGAGTCGGTGATGCCATCCAACCATCTCATCCTCTCTCGTCCCCTTCTGCCTTCAATCTTTCCCAGCATCAGGATCTTTTCCAATGAGTCAGTTCTTCACATCAGCTTCAACATCAGTCCTTCCAATGAACACCCAGGACTCATCTCCTTTAGGATGGACTGGTTGGATCTCCTTGCAGTCCAAGGGATTCTCAAGAGTCTTCTCCAGCACCACAGTTCAAAAGCATCAATTCTTTGGCACTCAGCTTTCTTTATAGTCCAACTTTCACACCCATACATGACCACTGGAAAAACCATAGCTTTGACTAGACAGATCTTTGTTGGCAAAGTAATGTCTCTGCTTTTTAATATGCTGTCCAGGTTGGTCATACCTTTTCTTCCAAGGAGCAAGCATCTTTTAATTTCATGGCTGCAGTCGCCATCTGCAGTGACTGAGGAAATGCCATACTATTTTGCAAAATGGCTGCACCATTTTACATTCTCACCAGCAACTGTGAGGGTTTCAATTTTCCTAAACCTTTACTGTATTTATTATCTGTCATTTCGATTGTGGCTATTCTAGTGAGTTTGGAGTGATAATTCGTTGAGGTTTTAATTTGCAGTTTTTCAGTCACTAATAATATTAAACATCTCTTCATGTGCTTAGCAGCCATTTGTATGTCTTCTTTGGAGAAATGTTTGCTTAAATCCTTCACCAACTTTCAGTTGGGTTATCTGTTGAGTTGTCAATTTTTTTTTATATATCCTGGATACAAGTCCCTTATCAGATACAGTCAGTTCTCAGTATTCCTGGTTGTTATAGTCTATAAAGTTGCCACACTGATCCACTGATCCAGCTGGAAGCATACAACATACATGCATGTATCTTACATGGATTATGATCTTAAGTCCTTCTCATAGCTTATATTTTCTTTCTTTTTTTTTTTTAAAGTGAGGTTAAAAAGTGTTAGGTAACTTGTCTGAGCCTCTGCCACAACTAATCCTCCCACAGCTGACATTCACACCCCATCCAACCGGCCCCAAGACTGGAGCCTCTTGAACCACTCCGCACTGCCCCCTACTGTCTTCATCTTCTGGTAATCTCTGCATGAGAGTTGAAAAAAGAAACCAGACCCTTGGCCTTTTTTGACCTTAGCTGGGAACTATGTCTGTGAATGACCAGAGAAGGCTCTGAGTATTGATTCTGGAGTTATAAATAAATTTTAGCAAGTAATCCAATTCTCAAATATGGAATATACTAGTATATTTTTAATTAAAATACCTCCTGTATATGGTTTGCAAATATTTTCTTTTATTCTCTAAGTTGCTTTCACCTTCTTTTTTTTCCTTTTACTTTTTTGATGGTATCCTGAAAGCACAAAAGTATTAAATTTTGATGAAGTCCAAATTCTGTTGCTTGGGCTTTTGGTGTCATGTTTAAGAAGGCTTCTCCTTATCCAAGTTCACAAAATGTTTACCCCTATGTTTTTTCCCCTAAGAGTTCAATCATTTTAGCTGTTACATTTAGGTCTATAACACATTTTAAGTTAATTTTTGTGTATCCTGTATGGAAGAAGTCTGATTTCATTCTTTTCTTTGTAGATGCCTACAGTTGTTCTGCACCATTTGTTAAAAAGATGTCTTTTCTCCTGTTGAATTATTTTGGCATTCTTCTCAGAAATCAATTGACAACAAATGTGAGGGCTCACTTTTGGACTCTCAGTTTAGTACTATTAATCTGTTTCTGTTCCCATCCTGTCTGATTAATATAGCTTTGTAGTATGTTTTGAAATTGGAAATTATGAGTCTTCCAACTTTGTTCTTTATATGGTTTCTGAGTTATTTTCCCATACCTCTGGATAAGGGAAATGAGATTATTGCTACTGCTGCTAAGTCGCTTCAGTCTGTGTGCGACCCCACAGACAGCAGCCCACCAGGCTCCCCATCCCTGGGATTCTCCAGGCAAGAAGACTGGAGTGGGTTGCCATTTCCTTCTCCAATGCATGAAAGTGAAAAGTGAAAGTGAAGTCGCTCAGTCATGTCGACTCTTAGTGACCCCATGGACTGCAGCCTACCAGGCTCCTCCATCCATGGGATTTTCCAGGCAAGAGGACTGGAGTGGGGTGCCATTGCCTTCTCCGAAAATATAATAAAGCAAAATTTATAAGTTAGTTATACAAGTTATGTTCCTACAGTCAAATAAAAATGCCCAGCTTCTAAAAATGTCTTTTTCTAAATTTGGTTTTCAGCCCTGCCGTACTAACTTAATCAATGTTATTGCTGCTAAAACAAGTATTGTGAAATGATGATTGTGAGTTAATGATTCCCATGAATCTGGTAGGGTTTATTTAAAGGTTTTGGTTTTTTGTTTCCCTGTCTACTAGGTGGGTGGAGAGTTTTCCAACGTTGCTATCACCCAGATGAAGAAATTTGGAAGAATTGCTATATGTGGGGCCATCTCTGTATACAACAGAACCGGCCCACTTCCCCCAGGTAATGAGCTCATGCACACGATCAGAGGTGTAGAAAGATGGGAGGAAGAGATGATTCACAGATATGGTACAGGCCAGTGACTACTGAAGTATTTTTAAATATTTCCTAATATTCTTGATGAAATGGTGTTAACTAAAAATATGTAATTTTGTATATTTGGGCTAAGTCAGCTTATATTGGATTTTGATATAGAGAAAAAACAGGATCTGAAAATATGGACGAAACAGAGTTATTTAAAGTTTTGGTTTTTTTACTTACTGTTTTCTACAAAGTTGTAAAAAATCATTTAGAAATAGAACACATTGGTCTGACTGGTAAAATATTAGAGGTCTTCGGGATACTGGGGATGTTCTGGAGGTTTGGGGATGGGTAGACTTGAGTGGGTGCAGGGGAAACGGGCTGCCCTTTCCTTCAGACAATAGTGGGCAGAGCTTCCTGGAGCAGCAGGACAGCCAGGCCTCAACACTCTGACAATTTCCACTAAAAGGGAAAGGAGCATCCTTCCTCTGCATTCCCGGACTGTCCTTGTTTGCTTCTCCTCTGCCCTGCCATGCCCTCTACTCCTGTTCTCCACTCCTATCTGAGACCTCCCCCTCCCACCTCCAGGCCCAGGTCTCTTACTGAAAGGCGGGGAGATGAATGGGCAAAAGGACCAGAGACTCTTTCAATCCTATTAGTGACAGAAAGTGAGTCACTCAGTCATGTCCAACTCTTTGTGACCCCCTGGACTACAGAGTCCATGCAATTCTCCAGGCCAGAACACTGGAGTGGGTAGCTGTTCCCCTCTCCAGGGGATCTTCCCAACCCAGGGATCGAACCCAGGTTTCCCGCATTGCAGGTGGATTCTTTACCAGCTGAACCACGAAGGAAGCATTAGTGCAGACTCAAAAGAAAGGCCGATCTTCTGAACTCCTCATATAGAACCCCTTTCTGCTACAAGGATTCTGTGCTGTTGAGAGATTACAGATTTACTTGTGGTCAAAAAAAAACACACAACAAGAGGAGGAAAAAAAACAAAAAGGAATCATCCAGATCACCATCAAGATCCTGACAACCATAAATAAATGAGTTTTTTGTTCTATGATGGGCTTCACTCGTGGGGAAGAAACCTTATAGCTCTGCTAGTTAGCACCTCGGCTACACTGAGACAGGTGGGTGGGAGTCGAAGGGGCTGAGGAAGGATCACTTATAGATTCCCTGTTGGGTTGTGAAAGGTCAAAGGGGACACTCCAGATGCACCAGGGAATCTTATTAGGGACTTTTTTCCTTCATATTTTTCTAATTGATGCTAAGCTAAAATCCTGGGGAATCCCTCTCCTGCCAATTGAGCAGAGCTCCAGGGTGCATTTTCCTGAGCACTGCCAAATATTGTGGATACAGTAACTTGATCTAGCCTTTTGAAATTCAGCTGCTCAGACAGGTTATGAGATGTCAGCTGGTGTTGTCCATTCCATTTTAAGCAGGTGACATTCTGCCTGCCTGTGATCTCTAGGAACTCTAACATGTTTCACTATTAGGGGAGCTCAGAGACAAGTAATTGTTTCCCCTGGCTTTCATGCCATATTTGTTTTCTGCTCACAATAAAGAAACGACATCCCCAGTAGTGTGGACAATCCCAGGAACAGGATTTCATCCTCTTCCAAGATGAGGAAATGAGGATTCCACTCCTTTACCCAAGAGAAATGTAGCTGGGGTGAATCTTCTAGCTGCGAGTTGTGCTCAGTCCTGTCTATTACCACAAACTTAATGACTTAAAACAGCACAAATTTATCCTTACAGGTCTAGAGCTCCAAATGGGTTAGCAGGGCTACTTTCCTTCCGAAGGCTCAGATTCCTTGCCTTTTTAATTCTTGAGGCCACCTGCATCTCTTAGCTCGTGGTCCCTTCTTCCATCTTCAAAGCCAGCAGCACTTCATCTTCACATTTCCCTCCATCTCTATGATCTCTGCTCCCATCATCACATATTTTCTCTCGATTCTAATTTTCCTGTATCCCTTTCTTCCTTACAAGGACTTTCACGTGAGCCCACCTATGTAATACAGAATAATCTCCCCATCTAAAGGTTCTTAACTTGGTCCTATCTGCAGAGTCCCTTTTGCCACATAAGGTCACATAGTAAAGGCTCCGGGAACTAGGACATGGACGTCCTGGGGCAGTTACTCTGCCCACACAGAGAGCACGTTGATTTTGGGGCAGCCCTGTGGGTCGGGAAGAGTGGAGGACACAGGAGGCAGAGCACTAGGGGAACTCTGACGTGCCTTGTACCGTGCGCGTTTTCACCATGGCCACCTCCCTGCATCCTGCTGCTCAAACGTGCCCTCCTCTTCACAGGCCCATCGCCGGAAGTCATCATCTTTAAGGAACTCCACTTGCAAGGCTTCATGGTCTACCGCTGGCAAAGAGAAGTCCGCCAGAAGGCTCTGAGAGACTTGCTGAAGTGGGTCTCAGAGGTGAGGGGCCCCGGAGCCACTGTGACACCAGATGCCCTTCCCTCTGGGGGTTGCAGATTTCACTTCCACTGTGAATATGGGTTCCTCGCACCGCTCCCCCTTTTATAACAAAGCACCTGGAAGTCTTGTCAGCACTCACTGTCTGCAGTTCCTCTCCATTTAAAAACATAATTTTTTTTTTATATGGGCTGTTTTTAAAGCCTTTATTGAATTTGTTACAATATTGCTTTCTCTTTTTTAATACACTGTCGTTGTGGTTTTTTTTTTTTTTGGCTGCGAGGCATGTGGAATCTTAACTCCCCAGCCAGGGATCAAACCAGCATCGCTTGCACTGGCAGGCATCTTAATCACGTGTCCTCCAGCAAAGTCCCTCTTCATTCCTTCTTAAACATGCCTGTCGGGCTTTGCACTGTTGCCGTTCCACCAACACTGCTTTTGTCAAGGCTGCCAATGCCCCTCACATGTAAACTCCTGTGGTCAGCTCTTAGCATCACTTGGCTGTAGGGAGTGGTGACAGAGGGCATCACTGTCTCTCCCTGCTTCCTTTGGCTCTTGGTTTTCCTCACTGTATCGATCCTTCTCAGACTCCTCTACTAGCTTCTTTTCACCCCAAATTAATAACACAGCTTTCCAATACATCGTCCCTGGGCCTGTTTTCACCTCTGTCCACACTCTCCTCAGCCCTTAGTTATCTTATCCAAGCTCTTGGCTTTAAATATCACCAATATGCTGATCGCTCCCAACTATCTGTCTCCAGTCAAGAGCTCTCCTTTGATTTCTGGACCGTTCAGTAGCTGCACTTGGATGTGTAGCACACTTCTTCATCTCTGTCTTAATGTATTAAAAACCAAATATGTCTTGATTTTTCCCGCCAGACCTGCTTTCTATGTACAGACTTCACCATCTCAGTTATGACAATCCTTTCAGTTGCTCAATTCAAAAACCTTGAAATCATCTTTGACTCCTTTCTTTCTCTCATACTCATATCTAATCTGTCGGGAATTTCTGGTGTCCCAACTTTGGAAATACATTCAGAATCTGCCCAGTTCCCCCTCCTCCACTCCCACCATCCTTCTAGGCACCACTTGTCTGGCCCAGGTATTGCAGTGGCCTCTATTCAGCTCTTCCACGTTTTCACCCTGCAGATAATTCCCAACAGAGCAGCCAGAGTGAGCTTCACACCAATCATTCTTATGTTCAAAACCCTACAAAGCTCCCCATTTCTCTTAGAATAAACCCTGCAAGGCTGGATACTGCCTGGTCTCTGTCACCTCTCTAACTTCATTTCTTTTTGTTCATCCCCACACTCCTCCACCTCTCTGTAATTGCTTATCCAGTTCTCTCTCACACACACCTTCAAGTTTTTGCTGAAAACTGCCTTCTGAATGAGACAGCTTTGAAAATGACCCTATTTTTAAATTGCAATCCACCTTGACTCATTGATCTTCCTTATCTTACTTTGATCCATAGCAATTATCATCTTTTGACATAATATATACTATAACTCATTTATTATATTTATTGCCCATCTCCCTTCCACGAGACTGTAACCTCCATGAGGGCATCAGTGTTCACACATTCTGTTTTCTGATGTATCCCCAGCACCTAGAATATTCTAAATCAGTAGGCACTAGATGAATACTGTTGAGTGAATGAGCATTACAGGGGCATGTATTTGGGCCACAGCTCTTCCAGGTCCTAGAATGCAGTCTTCTCATAGTCACACCTCATAGATCCCCAGGAGGAAGCCAACCCCGTTGTCCTATGCTGTGATCATTTTCCCACCTTACACCACATGGAGCTTTAGTCAACAGAAATCTGAATACCAAGGTGCATTATTTTCATTTCCAAGGAGAAAAGTGGTCCCACACTTTCTAATTTCTGGCTTTATGGTTGTCTCCAAATTGAAGAAATAGACTGCTCCTCTGGCAACCCCGGGAGCTTGGCATCTCTCCCAGTCTAACACTCTTGGAGTGCTGGGCTGGGCTCTTTCCAGGGAGCTGAGAGGAGCAGGATGCTTTTAGAGTTCCCGTGTGTAGCTTCTTTGTCTCTGTTGGTGAAATCAAATATGATCACAGCTGACAACAGACACCACTGTGCCAGTGTCCCTAATGCTTTCTTCTAATGGAGTGAAACTATTTCTAATTTTGTTTTAAGTAACTAGTGAATTGTCTTTCTCTCTCATCTACTTATTTTTTTCTCATCCCTCCCCCCTTTTGTGTTACAGTAATAATAGAGTAGTAAACTATTCTTTACTTTAGAAGAGTAAACTATTCTTTACCTTAGGATAGTTACAAAGAAAAATTCCAAAGAGAGTAGAGACTTTCCAATATACCCTGTATTCTATATCCTAATTTCCCGTATCATTAACATTTTATATTAGCATTCATCCTCTACTTTTTTCCTTATGGCTGCACCTCATGGCATGTGGGATCTTAGTTCCTTGACTAGTGATTTTACCCATGCCCCCTACATTGGAGTCTTAACCACTGGACTACTAGGAAAGTCCCTCATTCTCTACTTTTAACCGCTAAACTTTTGATTATAGCTTTTGACCCTCTCCAGGTTCTTTGGTCCTCAAGTATAGAAGGAGCTGGGGCTTTCTAGTCAGGGATTCAAATCCCAGCTTGCCTACATGCTAGTTGAGGGACCTCGAACAAATAAGTAAGTTCTTCCATAAATCCATGAAGGATGCTAAACCATCACTGAGATACATTAGGGGAAAATGTTATCAGGTAGCTTAGGTCTCCACATAAGACCCCCTTAAAATGTGAAAATGTGAGCTAGGTCCATTTAGGAGACTGTGCCTTATAGAAGGAGAAATGAAAATCCTTCTTCACTAAACAAACTCTTCACTCCCACACTGCTAAATGAATGTTGAACACATACTGAACAAATCTTGGCTTGAAGGGAAGACAGCTTATTAGACTGTCTTGGTATTTACATTTGCTGAACAGGTTCTGTGTCTGCAGGGGTCAGATAGAGGTAAAGATGCTACAGCATTGGGTACTGGAGTGATGAACACAGGTGATACTCCAGAAGGGTGTCCTCTACCCCTGCTCCCACCTCTTCTGAGATCGTTATTAAACTTTTGTGTCCAATTTACTTAGACATTGGTTAACTGCTCCCTTGTGACTTTTTTGTATTTACTATGACCTGATGCCTCTTATAAGCTATTATGCATAATCTGTTCAATACACTATGTATGTGGATCATGCCCTGCAAATGACTAAGTTCAAAGAGGACAGGCTCTCTACTTCCTAGTTCCAAGTTTCCTGTGATGTACTGATTAATTTGGTGCTATGATGACAAGACTGTATCATTTAGAATATGAAACTAATCTACTATATTTGTTATTGCTTTGATACAGGGTAAAATCCAGTACCATGAACACATCACTGAAGGATTTGAACACATGCCGGCTGCATTTATTGGATTGCTCAAAGGAGAGAATCTGGGGAAGGCAATAGTGAAAGCATGAACAAAAATGACACGTGGAATCCAGAAGTCACCTAGATGATTAGTTTCTTTTTAACCACGTAGTAAAATATGTACTAACTTCATAATGCATGAACAAAAGTGACTAGTGGAATCTAGAAATCATTTGGGTGATCAGCTTCTTTTTAATCATTTAGTAAAATCTGTGCTGTTTTCATGATCTAAAAAACAGTAATTGTAATGTGACTGATCTACCTAATAAAATACATTGAAGTGGTATATAATTAGCAACAGAGAATGAAATTTTCATACTGAACAATGGCCAGTTGAACTTAACTGCCTGCTGTAGTTCCTTCTGGAGTATGATAGAAAATAATGGCTTTGGAGTCCAAAAGTTTCCTGCCTTTGTAACCATGAACTTCTGATTTTTCATCTGTGAAGTACAAACAATAATGTCTGCTTCACATACATATCATACATTTATTTAGACCACTCGCATAATGCATGGCATATATTAGGTGTTCAGTGAGTACCTCCCTGCAGAAATTTGTGAATTTGAAGTCAAGATTACCACTGCTATGACTGATGGTTACACAAGGAGAAATAATCATTACTGATGTACACAGGTCTCAGTGCAGCCTCCACTGGTCCTCTGCAGGTGGGTCTAACACGACAGACCAAGAAAGGAATCTATCACAGCAGCTACAAAAACAGTAACATAGGAATCTTTATAAGCCTACGAAAATGTGAGATTATTCTGAGCAAAGTTTTAAAACATCACTGAGGAACACAAAAGACCGAACATGGAAAGGTTACCTTGTTCTTGGACTTGACGGTTTAGTTATCAGGAAAATGTCAATTCTGTTAACTGATTCTGCCCCCAAATAGAGGAGGGATTAAATTGTAGTACAAGGAAAAAATGAAAAAAAAAAAGTGTGTGTGGGTATGATAAAACCTCCAGTGAGAGGTAATAAATATGATAATATGGTTCATCCCCAGGGAAGACAAGTGAGGTGTGCCTAAAGGATGGGGATAAGAGAAAAACTATAATATAAGCCCTTTGGAACTTTTTGAATTCTGAATCTAATGAAATTATTTAGTATTTATGAATGCAATTAAAAAAATCAAAGTTCTGCCTTTTTGTATCCTCTTCCCATACGGGGGGAGTAAAACACATAAATGAGAGGTGTCACCCCTAAGACCGGGGTTTTTACCTTTCAAACTTGCCTACACGGAGCCTCCAGCAAACGTGCCTCCAGGTGAAGATCCCTGAGCCCACACTGGGCCCCGTGGAGGGCTGTATTTTAGGGCTTCGACCCCAGTAGTTTGTGACTGGATATCTGACTTTCCCAGCTTGGGGCAGCAGTTTACCCCATGACCTCAGGTCTTTGCTGGATCTAAGGGGGTTTTTTTGTTTGTTTATGTTCAATGTTCTTATTGTTTGGACTGATGATACTAGATCAGAAACCTGATGTCGTGTGTGTGTGTGTGTGTGTGTGTATGTGTATACACACATTTCCCTACAATTTAAAATATCCTGGGCTTCCCTGGTAGCTCAGATGGTTAAGAATCTGCCTGCAGGACAGGAGACCTTAGTTCAGTCCCTGGGTTGGGAAGATCCCCTGGAGAAGGGAATGACAACTTCCTCCAGGATTCTTGCACGGGAAATTCCACATAGGAGCTTGGCGGGTGACAGTCCATGCGGTTGCAAGGAGTCGGACACAGCTGAGTGACTTAACACTTTTACTTTCAGGCAGCCCTTATGAATTCTCTGCAGTGCCCTGGGGACACCTTGGCACCAAACTGGGACCCATGGTTCTAAGCTCTTTTCAGGCCAGTGTTTGAAAACTGTATAATGTTCCAGGTCTTGCTTTCCTTACCTCTGGGACCTTGGAGGCTCTATGTTCCAGATGGCATAACTAGCAAATGTTGGAAAGAAACTGTTGAGGCCTGACTGGGAAATAAACTTTTACTGAGTTCCATCACTCTGATTTGTTGGGCTTTGCGTGGTGAGCACTGCGTTCTCCAACTCTGTACTATTGAGTATGGGAGCCACTGGAGGCCACTGGAAATATGCATAGTGCTTTATTTCAAGGTTTAAAAAACGGAGGCAGAGTGAATATTTTTCCACTAAACACAACTTTATTGTTTTAGTAGAACTACAATTCACTTTGACTGTTGCACTGCATAGGACATTGCTGTTTTACTGTAAGGTTTGTATAGGAACGTGCATAATTTCTAGTATTGCAGATGAACACTCCACCAATCTAGTATCAACAGACTTGACTCAGTTCAGATGATTTTCTATGCACTGAAGTAACATCACAAAAGTGTTTACTTGGATATTTTATGTAGATAGTACAAGTGAAAGAACGCCTATGCATACAGCACAAGTTACAGAGACACCTATATGGAAACCACAGTCATACATTGAGATACGTATTATTTTCATTGTAATAAAACTATTTCCTAGATTAAAAAATATGGAAAAATATTTAGATTTTAATGAAGGCATATTACTGAGGCAGAATTCAGTGCAATACAGAAGCTAGTACTACAAACTAGTACAGCAAAGAAAACCAGAGTGCAAGAAGGTACGGCGCACATTCAATGATGAGTAGCAATTGCAACTCACTGCAGGCACGGCAAAATGAGAAGGCTGTTTGTTGTACACAAGTGTTCAATACAGTAGACACTACGTAAGACAGCAGCTAATAGTTATGCCATTTTTTAGCAACGGTCTAGTAATAAGTATTTTCCTAATAGTAAAAGAAAAATCCATGAAGTCTTATGAAACAAGAATTACATTTCCATCAAAACATTAAAACAATTTTTAACAGGATTTTGAGCTTATACTTGGCCAACTATAAAATGGTTTGAATACTTGTGCACATACGTGTGCACACACACACACAAATCTCAGATGGAGAGAAGACAGAAGAAATTACCATTTTAGTTACGGTAATCTAACTAGAAAATTATGAGGAAGACCTAAAAGGACATGTAAAAATTGAAATTTTTAATTAACCCTTTAATTAATGTTGCTCCTAGAATACAAGAAGTTTCTTGTAATATCAAAGATCATTTGGTTCAAAATTAGAAAAATTTCAAGTACTTAACTTTAGGTGTGTAATATAAGACACTGCCAATTGAATACTTTGAGTACATTCTGTCTCAACATCCAAATTTTCAAAGAAATGTCAATTCGTTATGTAAAAACTCAAACTCATGACATATTTTTTGACATTTTAAACCTGACAAAGAATTTCAGCAAGAGACAGAAAAATTAGTTTCTTTCATAAAGACTGAAATTATGTTAGGTCTGAAGATAAATATATTGGAATTCTAAAGCAAGAGAATGATATTTCCCCTCACTGCTTTGTTTCACTATATGATAGCTACTGAAAATATCTATTCAGTTTTCCGAAGCAGACTTTGGGAGTCATAAATAGATGTTAAAATTCTTCAGTACACATGTGAAATGATGTAATCACTGTTAGTTTATGAAAATGTTGAAAATACTGTTTTAATGATCTTGTGTTCTTTACCAATGTTCTTTAGTTGAGTTATAAAAGAATTTTACAAAAATTTCCTGTACTGGGAATTTCAATTTAAGATTTTTTTTTTTAATGAAAAGGAATGCTTGCGAAATATTCAGTAATCGAAGACAAAAAGTGGCAGGATCACACTGAATATGAATGAGCTAAATTTCAAGCTCCTTAGAACGGGAAAAACTTGTGACCTACTTGGATGAGAAACATTAGTTAAAATTGAAACACTTCATAATATAAACAAAAAATAATGACTTTACACATTTTTCTAATATGAGTCAACCTGCAGATTTTCAAAGTAATCAACAGCATTGTCCAATTTGGCTGCAAAACATAAGAAAAATGTGAAGGATGGTTGATACTGATAAATTTAATTTTGTTTCCAGTTATGTAATACTTAATTGAATGTGATGTTAATAACAGAATTGACAGAAGAGTTGAATTTATTTAAACAGATACTGCTTTGAAATTGATACCCTTTTATTCAAAACCACATCAATTCTTCTAATAAAAGATGACGAATCTTGTCAATGTGGATGCAAATATCGAAGGAAAGTAATTTTCTAACACTTGAAAACTTTAGGTATATCTAGACTAACAACAAAGAACATTTGGAAGAACTATGTACACCTACTTTTCAACTCTAAGTTTTATTAATATGGACAGAGTATGAATTAAGATGTGCTGCAACTGTAACACATGGGTTTTGGAGACAGCACAAAAAATAATATAGAATCTCTCACCAATAATTTTTATATTGATTATATGTTAATGTAAGATTATGGATATACTGGGTGAAACAAAATATATTATTCACCTGCCTTCTCTTACCTTTTTAAAGTGGCTACTACAAAATCTGAAATGTGCAGTTAGGGCAAATTTTGGACAAAAGGGACAAAGAGATCAAGAAGCCATCTGCCACTTCTGAAGAGCCCAGAGCAAAAGCAGCATGCCGTGCGTGCCCTCTGCACATAACACTACCTAAGGGGTTGGGAAGCCACGTAACCCACCCCTCTGGCCTGACCCCCGGACACCCCTACCCTCACCCCGTATAAAGAAGCAGCTCACCTCCCCAGGGAAGCAAGCAAGCACGGGAACCTACTGTTCTCAAACTCCCCTGCAGCAACAGGGACCCCAGTAAAGCCTTGCCTGAAAACAACCTGAACGTGGCTCACATTCTATGATTAGTGTGCAGTGTGCTGCAGTGACTGAAACACCTTCCAAATGGCTTTTTAGGGCCCTGTTCTTAAATGTGAATAGTCAAGAGATAACCAGAGATTTGAGGACAGCCTCCAAGGTGAAAGAGAAAAACAGATAAAAATAACTCAGAAGGAAGATAATGCAGGGAGCTGAGTAACATTGCTGCTGCTAAGTCACTTCAGTCGTGTCCGACTCTGTGCGACCCCATCCCTGGGATTCTCCAGGCAAGAACACTGGAGTGGGTTGCCATGTCCTTCCCCAATGCATAAAAGTGAAAAGTGAAAGTGAAGTC